ACAACTTCACAAATTTATATATATATATATATATATATATATCGAGCACCGAGCTGTGACACCAACCATCAGTATACGTCCACACAGCCCGCGCCAAAACCTCCAAAACCATATTTTCCGAATCCAGCGCTATTAAACTCTAAAGTGAAACTGCATTGCCTTTCGTCTTCGCCCCACCCCTGTCCAGGTTTGCGTATTTAGACGTTACTAAGATATTTGCTTTTTCTTTAGCCGTCCTCGCTTATAATGCAACCGTAATGACCCTCAGTCGCTCGATAACCAGCAACGAGGCTACACTTGGAATTCACCTGAGAGCCAGCGCCGCCGACGGTACATACAGTATCATCGCCGAAGTGGCCGTTGTACCTTCGCCGCCGGATCGCCGTAAGCGACTCTGTTCTTATTACTATTTAAATTTGGCTTTGTTGAACGTAAAACTCCAAAGAAGCTTTTGGCGTTGTCGATGAAATTAACAGATATGGCAGATTTGTACTTGCTATGAATGCACGTAGCACAAGGCTGTTCAAATTGGACTGGGTTTCGATTGAAGTGTCAAGCTCTCTTGAGCCAAATGGTGAATTTCAAACATATTCCAAATGGTCTTGATAGAAGTCTTACTCAACCAGACCACGAGAAATGGTATGAATTCGAAACGTGAGCAGTAAACGTCAAAGACATGTCTAGGCTATAGAAAAACTTGCCAGGCCAAAGCAATTTACAAACACTGGAAGGTAGCAAAGGACTATTTGTTTGGTACCCGTCCAAGATAACGAATGTGAGGCAGCAGATGGTCACGACTAAGCTTCTTGACTAGAATTTTTATTGACACACCATCAGTCACTTACCATTGCGTCTAAGAGTCAAAAGATCATTGAATTTCATCACTTGTCTAAAGAGGATTGGAAATTCAAATGAAAATCGATCTATTCTACCAGATAATTTTGTCGTATGCATAATCATATCTCTGTTAATTTATTAAAGTTTTTATATTTTGACCTTTCCGGGGCCTTGTAATGAATAAAATTCATTAACATCCTTGTCTGTCCAAAGGATAAGCGATAGGATGTAAGTAGCCTGCTCTATTCAACGATGCATACAGATCATTTTCTCAAATGTTTGCAAATAAGCTTCAAATTACGCTGCCATATTCCTTTCTGGTTGAGTTTATCTCTTTGACGGCGAAATCATAACTTATCAAAGGTCAGTTATCACTACCACGTTACTCCTGTCGATAGAGCGTCAGATTCATATTGCACGATCATATATTTCAGATTTGAGCAGTTGCTTTCCGTCCTTCCGCTGTATATAGGCAATTCAAGTGCAGACGCAATCTGCATAGAATAAATGGCATTCCTGTATGATAGCTGTTCCTATAATCACCACTCTTTGATGTTAACCAATAGAGTGTGATCGATGCAGTTACAGGCGGTAGACCTGAGAATTCGAAGGACTGCTGGCAGTGCGAAATTTTACGGAGTCTGGAACACTAGTCTGAAGTACTTTTCGTTGTCAGCCATTTTAAACTAAGTCGACAGATCACGATTACGATTGTTTGTGATGCGGATACCACATGAAAAACTCGCAAAGCGAACCCTGTTGAAAAAGCCGCAAGTAAACGGTAGAAGCAGACCACTGATCTGATGGCTTGATTATATGGAAGAGTAGCGTTGTGCAGCTTTGAAGTGCAGGCAGTTTGTTTGTCTGAAACCAAAATTGTAGAGAACCTTTGAGACAGCTGCTCTCGTCGCCGAAGAGGAACAGGAGGTTTTGATAAATATAGTATGCGTGTACTGCATGCGCATATGCAGAATATAACTTGTGCACATCTTTGCACTGTAAATATGCAAACTAGACAATATTTATCAATGGGAACACTGTTATTACATAGCTAATATACTGTATATATGTTGAATGTACTGAATATAGTATGAACTAAGACAATGGAAAAACGTATACATCTCTACTGCATAGATAGATCGTTCCGAAACGTATACGAGATATATATATTGAATATCAGATTTACTGTTTGTTATGTGCCTATTTATTCTACATGATATACGCTGCCATATAGTGTGTACATTTGCATATATAATATATGCCCACTAAATGCGCCTTTATGTGTATTGTGTATATAGAAGACATGTTTTACCTATTGGTATATGATACTTCTCCCCTCCTCTGACTCGCCATCTCGCGCGCACAAGTCGTCTGATTTTCTTTTTTCTTGAGCGTTTGTTGACGAGTGATTGTTCAGCAATTCATTTAAGGTATTAATTCTCATGAATTATTTCTGAGGCTCCCAAGCCGTCATCGAGCCCAACGAATTCGGAGAACTGAACCACTTTGGTCATAGAAGGTTATCACTACAAATTGGAGCGGACTTTTGCACGACTACCAGGCCCTCACTTAAGTAGAAGAATTATAAATTATAGTTCATTCATTTTTAACCTGAAATTTCTCGAACTTCTAGATAATTATTCATGTGCATTTTATCATTTTTATCTTTTTTGCTTTACGTAAACGTTTTAGGAACCGTTCGGGTGGTCTTCATGCAAGATGCATTAGTCGCTTCGAATGATCGCGGAGCGTTGCGTTATTCTAGTGCTGGCGACATTAACCCTGATTTGGAAGCGACCTTCTGCAGCTTCAATTACAACGGTTACAACGTGTACGGAAATTTCAGCACGTCCACGGCAGCGGTTGAACTGGATCTGTACAACACACGCAATCTGTTACTGCAGAACAGTATGTTTTTCAAAAACCAAGGCGGCCTGAGCATCACTGTGGCGAGCAGCACGCCGTCTACCCGCCTTGAGGGTATCATCCGGAACTGCGCTTTTGGCAACAACGCAAACTTCGGGACGTTCCGTCTGGTCGGCAGGGACTACCAGAAGATGTACGTACTGAACAGCTACTTCGGCTTCAACCACGCACCTTACCACGACGTGGTGTACGTGGAGAAAGTTCTGACAAACTTTACGCACAACGTCATGCGCAATAACACAGGCACGCATGTGGTTCACATCAGCGGCTACGAGGACGAGTCGGCCGAGTATCAGACGTTCTACAACAATTTCGTCTACGAAAACGTCGCCACAGGCCACGGCTACCAATTCGTTGAGAGCTACGGCTTTTTCGCTGCCGACAAGGGGGCACTGATGAAGCTAATGCGGCCGCGACGTCAGACAGAATTTGGGCCCAGGTCTCAAATGACCAGCTTTGAGTGGTGGGCGAACGTCGGATATCAGAGTGAGCGCTATCGAAGCACGGTGTTCGCCGGATCCGCTAAGCAGCAGTACTCCATGAACTTCTTCCAAAACCCAGCCAATAATTTTGAGCTGACGACGGCCGTCGAGCGGAGGTGAGCTCTGGCCAATACCTTGTTCTAGTGATCTGTGTATGAACTGTGTCCGTTCGTCTTTTCAGGATCGATGTATACGACGGGTCTATAGATGCAAAGAATAACTACTGGGGCTACCCGGGCACTGCAGCCGTTGCCGGTGCCAAGATCCGCGACAGCCACGACTACAGCTACCTGATAGACGTCACCTACCTGCCGGTACTCGAGTCGAACACAACCCTGCTGGATGGTATTTGTTTTGTTATACCGTCATTCTTCTTTGGTCATTTTGCCGTGTGCTTTCAGGCTCCTGCCCTGCTGGTTGGTTTCAGGCCGGTTTCGAGGAGTGGAAGTCTTTCCGGTCTTGTTTCCTGTTCGTCCCCGGTGCAGCCACGTATCGTACGGCGCAGGAGTTCTGTAAAGTACGCCACGTCGCTTTGTTACTCGCGTTCCGATCAATCGAAACTTTCACTTGTAGAGCCAGAACGCGTACATGCCTTACTTTCGTGATCAGGACCGTCGTCTGGTGAAGCTGACTGAGAAGATTGATCAACAGATGAAACGATTCACCTTTCCGTTAGAACGCTTTTCTGTCAGTAACGTGAGTACCGTATTCTCGAAAGTTTGAAACCAAGAAAAACAACTTTACGCTCAATACACAGGAGATGCTTGAATGCTTACAAAGATACAATATTGCGTATTTATAATTTAACTTCGTAGCGTATGACTCTCTAAGATCAGGTTTCGCGACGCATTACATAGCTTCCTGACTACTAGTTGGCTTGCGGAGCAATTTAAGCGAACTGTGACTCCATGGTATATAAGCTCCTGCAGTGTCGCATGCATCTGCCATCACTGTGGCCTTAGATATATGATCGATAAATCGTGTCCAGAAAATAATCAGTGGTCGAAGGATTTTAGTTCCCTCACATGTTTGACTCTTGAGGCCAAACTTACAAGTTCGAAAGGATAAATAATCACGGTCTGCAGAATTCGCCACTTCGTCTTCAGACAAATCTCTCGTCATTTCCACCGCAGTTTGCAGAGCGGAAGGAAAGTTCCCACCTCTGCTGTTGCTTCCAAACCATAATTTCATTTTTAAATTGCCCATTGGGAAGTGACGAAGGTACCAAGAAGTGCTAGAATAGTCAGTGGCAGAACATTTTTGAAAGGTCGTGACTGCACATATATGTACAATGTAACGTAAGGGCTCACATAAGGGGGCCTTATATAACTCCTAGAAAAGATCCAAAACATGATCACAATGAAAATCTCGAATATTTCTGCGTTCACACAAGACCAGGATAAGAGTGGATGTCATTACCCTCTCAAGAGAAATCGATGCTCATTGTATTAAATTTTACATAATTGTTTCTCCTACAATCATATGGTATATTTTATAGTACCGTATTACAATTAAGAAACCTCAAAAGTCAATGATTGTTCCATTTTCACGCAATGATCTGCTATGAAATGTGTTTGTAGATGTACGAAACTCGCATTTGGGTCAGCAGTGTCAATGTTCCACCAGAAAAGTGTGGCTATCTTTCGTCCAAAACCGGTCTTATAGGAATATACAACTGCGAAGGAATGCTTCCGTTTGTTTGCGAAAAAGGTATTTTTGTTATTTTATTCGTCAAAGCTGTGACTTCATGCGCTGTTTTACATCTTAGGTCCTAAACCTTTCACGGAACCGTTATACTGGCAGCCAGCAGGCATTGCCGTCTTCGTTGTCAGTTTCGTATTGATGTTTTTGATCTTTCTTTTGGGTGCTCTGTGGTACGTGAAATCCAAGCATCGAAAGAAGCAGTTTTTCGAACGGAAAAATTCCATTCGGAGTTCTATTCGGTCGCTGAAGCTCGCGCAGGCGTTAGAGAATCAGCAAAAGAAGCAGCAATTGCGGAAGAGTATCGTTGAACAACAACAGTCCTCTAGACCTCGGGCATCAAGTCCTGATTTGGTGGAACAGGCCCACAGGAATCTAGTGCTTGGAGCCAGAAGCTTCGAGACCCTGTCCAACGGAAAGATGATGAAGCCGGAGCGGCTCACCTCCGCACCGTTCGTCACCGGCGGCACAGCCAGCATTGGCCACACGGACCCAACAACCCTGCAGCGTCACTCGAAAACTGATCGCTCATTGACCAGTGGTTGCTGTGATTCTTTATCGGCCAAGAACGATCGGTCGTCATCGGGCACTGGTTCCAACAGCAGTTCATTTGTATCCGTCACCAGAAGCGTACTCAGCTACCATGAACCGAAGAGACTGACGGTGGCGGGGGCGCCACCAAATTCGTTCGCCACCTTCACTGGTGATACAGAGCGATACACCGCCTCTGTCCGTTATGACGGTAGGCAAGATTTACTTTAATTCACAATTTGTAAATGTCAGTGAAAAGGTGTGATTTAGAGTGAATCTTTGATGTGACTAAGATGGAAAACTTGAAGTCTCTTCTTCCTCCATGTACTCCTTGTTGGCGAAGATCAGCCACCTTAGTTTCACTTTATATTGGAGTTGGCAGTTTAGGTTGATACGGATAACAGTTGCTATCCAGAAAATTAACCTGGGCATCAGTGCCATTGAGAGAGTGAATATAAGACCGAAAGACAATATCCATTGTAAGATATCACAAGTAATTGCGATGTCCACTACCGTAATCCAATTGCAGTAAAATATGGCAAAGTGTCTTTCTCCACGGGATTAAATTGCTGCAATGTCATGATCGATCAATCATTTTGATTGATTGTAAAAAGGAGGAGCTTTCAGTGCTTGAAAAATCAGCGTCACAGGTTTGGCAAAAGGGGTTCTCTTACAAAGGAGCACCCAACTCAGGAACTTCGGTAATGGTTGATCGAGAATTGCAAGACAGTACATTCTCGATTGAGCTCTTTTCGATGACAAGTGCTCAGGAGCCATTCGTTAACCGGTTTTGTAAAGCACCACAGTTTCTGGTTTAGCCACTTCCTTATTAATCCACAAAAAAAGTGTATCTATTCAGCACCTGTTAGCATATTCTAAATAGAGCTTGACTGGAGTTAGCAGAACAGCATTTACTTACTTAAAGAGCTTTCATTTTTTCAATAAGCTTCTATGATCCACTTTTTTGGGTTAATGATGAGCCTTCACGGCTGGTTAGTAACAAAGGGGAAAAGATTGATTCATGATTTACCGTCATGTCTTCGCCAACTTGCTTATCTATGATTCCTCTGCGACGTGTACAAGAAGTTGAGCTTTCAAACGTTTGGTCCATTAGCTGTTTAATCAACATGGAAGAGACGGTTAATGGGAAAGACATATTCAAAGGATAGCGCCACAATGTAGAATAAAATTGTTTCGTTCCAATTTTCTGAAAAACACTTCTATTTGAAAGCCTTTCACCATCAGAAGGCGATGCAAACTTGTGGCAAGGGTGTTCCGCTGAATTACGATGCTTTTAGTTCGTTCCCGTTACGTAATATCAGGGTCTTCCTGTCGCAGATTTGGGACTTGTGAATCGAGCTTGCAGTATGCAGTAGTGTCATATATTACCGTTGAAAGATTCTACATTTTCCTATTTTTGTAAGATTCATATTTTTGTAAGCTTCGAGTTTGATCCTTAGATTCTTTTTTTTTGACAAATGTGCGTGTAGAATTCCGTTTCTTTTCGCTTCCTTGCAGCCGAAGCAAGACGTTGGGACAAAGCGGTTACCGAACCTTACTGAATAATTGGCTGACTAATGTTCGTTCATCAGTTATTAGCACATCAGCTTCAACCGGTCACAGTACACTTACAAAAAACAGCTACTGCTACGGGTAGCACAGCCACAAACGTTCCAACATTGGAGCTCACAGTTGGCTCGACCCATCTGTCCCCTACGCCAGCCAGCCCATTTTTCGTACGTTGGGACGAGGATCACTGCCTGGGCCCAGCAACTCGTAACAGCGCGGTGTACGTTACGTTACACGTGCTTGTGAATGCAACGTTTGTAGCTTAGCGTTGTTCCCATCTCCTCTCCACATTGCTCTATCGTGAAACAACGAAAGTCATGTGCCGAGATTCGAGTCAGCGATCTTCTGATTGCGTCTCAGGCACACCAAACCTGAACTGCCCTTCCCCTTCGGAGTTAAGTATTAATTAATATATTTCCAGTTAACAAAATTTTGGGTCTGTATACTCCTATGTGATTTGCAAGTACTTTCAGGCTTGGGATAATATGATCTTGCCAAATTTATTGTTTGTCTAATTGCAGATCCCACGCTAGTCACCTTCCGTGGTGGCGCTAGACGTTCTCGCGATATCACGACCGCATCTGAATCGAGCTTCAGCTGCACCACCTGTCGCACGTCGACCACCGGCTACGACCCTTCGTGCTCCGAGTGCCATAGGAACTCGCAGGGACTGATGGGCAGGGATAGCCACTACACGTCCGAAGAGACGTTGACTGCCTGCGACGCTGCTTCAGAAGAAGCAGAAGCACTGTCTGCTGCTTCTTCTTCATCGTCGAGGACCGCCTCCACTACTTTGATGAAGAGCAGTGGCGAGACGATCAACACGTTACGGAACGACGTGATGAACCACGACTGCGAAGGGCCTTTCCTGCCGAACGGCGAAGTCCGGTGGCCGAGTTCAGATTTCGACCACTTGCGTAGCAACGCGGAATTGTACAGAAGATCCGGCTGTAGAAAACCAATTTACTTCAATGGCAAGTCGACGCCGAACCTGCGGGACAACGGTGAGGAACAGTCGGCGACCTCTCTTCTTGGACCAATGGCACCTTCCGCTTCGGGCAGGTCAATGAACTACCTACCCACATGGACGCCGCCCAATTTGGACAGCTTTAATCGCTCAAACGACAGTGACCTTGTTCGGCCTCTGGAAACTGCCATGTGATTTGTCTCAAACCTAAAGCAATCCTGCCTTCGTATTTCACCGGTTCGAATGTACATTCCATGTATACTTTCCATAAAGTTTTATTTTCGTTTCTGTGTACGAAAGTGGATATGCCGACCTTATTATGGCTCCTATACCATGCCAAACAAGTCACGTATCTTATGCATACAGCTTGGCTGATGAATATACTGAATTATTGGATGATCCGTGGTGGAAAACTTACTACTGTAGCCAAACTTTTGGTTTGGAGGGTGGGTAAAGATCATGTCGCCCAGTAGAGTTAGTAATCTTATGCCTATAAATGTTAGCTGCTTGTCTTGTCAGAGTTTCAAGATTTAATCCGCTAAGGGGAGCCAAAAGGATATCAAGTGAAAAATGTTTAACCCCTACATCTACATTCTTTAAGTTTGTTGATTTTCCACCCGCATCACCGTTGATTTGCGTCACAGATTGTCCGTTAACCTTTCATACTGTTTATCGACTACTCTCGGTTGTTGACTGGACACATGTCTGAACTGCCTTTAGCTCTGCTTATTGGTAAGTCAACCCCATGGCTGCCCACTCAACAATGGGAGTAGTCAGTCAGAAATTTCGCTGGTTAATCGACAATCTGTGAAGCGGATGAACAATGCTTTGGGTGGAAAATCAATAAGATGTGATAAACAGTAATTGCTCAATATTTTGCTTGAAACATTTAAGTATCTTAAATTTCAATCTACACATTGAAACATGGCAGGAGCGTTTTCAGAAAGTTTCCATGTTGGCTTGGCACAGCATGAGCACTGTCAACAGCCAGACTTTGAGCAGTCTGGTAGAAGTTGAGAATGCTGCGAATAACAGCACTGGAATGGGATCTAACAACAAAATACGTCTCTGGGGTGGTGTATCGCTTGAACTGCACTGTACGAAAGCCAAAAACGATCTATGGAAATATATGGCCTGCATTGGCAGAATGCACAAAATGGATTCAGCAGTAGCAAAGCCCATTACATCAAAGTATCAAAACAACAAGCACACATTGTATGGCTGATTCAACCTTGGCTTTAGGCTGCACCAATTTCCAATACAATCGTGTAATTGAGTTGTGTTGCATTCAATTCACTTTGTGAAAGTGCACGTGTTATTTATTGAACTATATTGTGTCTCCTAAAGATCTTTCAAGTGGCACAAGGCATTGGGTTGAACTTACAATTTCAAATAATTTATTGAAATATGTACATTTTCCATTTGGATCTGCAGTCAAAATAAATTAAAGACGAATTAGCAAATGCGCAATTACTGTCCAATCCTGAGCAAGATCCGTGACGACCTTTCACAAAACCATAAAATGGACGTTGCCTGATGGCAGTCTAAACAGCCATCGGGACCACGTCCTCGTCAAACCCAAATGGACCACGTCTCGTTACCCAAGATTCGTTTCAGGCATGACGCCTGAGTTAGGTCTGATCACCATGTAGTCCTAGCGAACCATCGTCCATAATTAGTCGTATCGCATTGACGACGTGTGAAAGAATCACATAACCTATTCGATGTTGGCAGGTCCAGATATGAACATGCGGCGAGGTTGGCGCAATAAAAGGTGGTAGCAGTTATTTTAATGCCACAGTTTGTGCCTAGTAGGTAAGTAGCAACGTCGAAAGGTCACAAATGTTACAAGCAAACCGTTTTTTCCTCTGCAAAAGCGTAATTTACATCAAAATAGAGTAGTCAAACTGTGGTAAGTTATGGAGACGATCTTAGCCTTTTGAGTAGGAAGGAATTGGGAAGAGAAAGAGTACTTAGAAAAATATGCTGCATCGTTGAAAGCAGTTCAATGTTGTCTCATTCGTGCAGTTAACCAGAACAAAAGGCAGAACCAAGAATTTTGCCTGGAGGGGAAATTAGGAAGGTCTAGAAGGGAGGCTAAAGCGTGAGCTGCGTATAGTGTTCAAATAAATGCGGCAAATGTCCGGCAAGCAGGAGACGTGGCCTGACTTTACCCAAGACGCTAAGAATGTCACATTTTTAGGTCAGGAAAGAACGCCTCAAAGGATGGGCTGAGCATTTTCCGCAATGGCCTTCCAGTTTCGTCATTTCTGATTGTTAATTCTCTGCCAAAGTAGATATTAACACGGATCCACCTATATAGCCAGAAATCCAAAATGCCTAGCTGCACCTCTTTATAAAAATGGCTAGAGGGGTGAATCGAATTCCTCTAGAATTAATAAGTATGGACGAACTGGAATGGTAGAAGTGCTCAGTGCCATGCTTCATCAAATGTAGACCTACAAGCGTTTTCCAGAAGAACGGGAATATGGAATAACTGTCTCTATATTTAAGGGGCGAGTTGGGTTACCGAATTTTGAGTTATCGTTATGTAATCCGGGAAACTATTCTCCTGGAATCTCGTGAAAGGTCTGAGACAGGAAATTAATGGGAGACTGTGCAAAACTCAAGCAGCCATCCAGATGAAGCACTCTGATCAAATTTTCACTCTGCAATCATTGTGTAATTGTAATGATTCAAGTCGCGTTTGTTTGCCAGTTTCCTCAACTTGAAGGATGCATTTCATTCGCTATATCGTCCTACGATGTGTAATATTTTTCAATGCTAAGTGACTCCAGATCACACGTTTCTACTTTGCAAGCGATGCATGCAAATACCATGTTTACTGCCTACGTTAAAGAAGAGCAGTTTGAAGAGTGCCCTATTTATTGTGGAGTTCACCTGAGAGACGTGTTTTCGCCTTTTCTATTTAACACTGTTCTGGACCTTATTCTCTGAAATAGCGCTGACATCGGCAAAGTCGAGGGTCTGATTCTAGGCCATAATTAAATACATACGGCTAGCAGACGATATTGACCTGATAAATGATACGAAAATGGGCTCTGTCACCTCAGACCTGAGAACTTCCGTTAACGAAAAA